ATTTAAAAAAAACAAGTAAAACATATAATCAGGTGGCAAGTGAAAGTGACCCACTGACCCTCTTAAAATTATAGGCGGCCACCGGGCCTCCACATGGCACCGGCGGCATAGTGTGAACAACCTTGAGGCCTTGCTCTACCTCAGAAGAAGTGCGTGCGCACGAAACGCGTCAGCAGGAGCCTGTGGACGTTGTTGACACTATGCCGCCGGTGCCATGTGGAGGCCCGGTGGCCACCTATAATTTTCAGCAGATTCTCAGCAGATTGCTGAGAGGCCGAGCCAGGTATGGCTCCAGACTCTGGGGTAAATCTTTAAAGTCGGGATCTTTCTCCAGTGTGGACTGACTGGGAGACACCTGCTGACTGCGGGCTTCAGCCCGCTGTCAGCTGAAAATGGGTCACAAATAGGATCTATCTTCCACTAAACTTGGCGTTCGCCTGGGGTGCACTGCCACCTAGGGGCGCCTGGGCGCAACACAGGCCAGCACTCTCTTTGTGTGGGCCGCCGCCACGTCATGAATGATCCTCCAGCTGAGGGGATGGGCGACGGAGGGGAGGAAGAAAGGACAGAGTAAGATGCCTGGTGTCTGGGGCCAGTGTAGTAGCTGAGCTGTCGCTCCTTCTAGTGTTCCTCTCAAACTCAGTCCCTTACTGCAACTGTTGATCACTGTGGAGTTCCAGCCCTCCTCTTCCCTTTCATCAGCGGAGGCAAAGCTGCACCTGCGGAGGAAGGTAATGTCTGACTCTGATGTCTGTGCAGTGTGACCCTGTCGGACATCCATCACATGTGCAATGTGTCAGTGAGTGATGACATCATCATGATCCCACAGCCTGCTCTTCTAGTGCCTGCTGATCTGTGTCAGTATTGGTGGTGATGTGTTGTGTCGGATCTTTCACTGTGTGGGATCGCTCAATTCAGTTGCTTGCTGTTACAACATTTTATCTCCCCCCATTGCCTGGGGAATTCCAGCCTGGGATCTGTCAGAGTGTGGATCCATCATCCTCCACTCACTGCAACTGTCACCCTGCAACTGCCAACCACAGACACAGATCATCCATGACACTGATTTTTGTCTTTAATATTGGTGCTGGCGGCATCTTATGATACTTATTTTTGCAAATTAAAAGAAATTTAGCAGTTCGTGTTTTATTGATTTAACATTTTCTAATGTTTTTTAATTTTTTTTTTGGGGGGGGTGGGGACACAAGTAGCTGGTCTTGCCTAGGGCGCAAAATAGTCTAGCACTGGCCCTGGTCACAGAAGTGCAGAACGAACTGCACCCCTGTGATCCACAGGAGAAGCACAGCCAAAAGAGCTGTGGCTGTTTTTCTCCTTTAGGATCACCACCATTAAGACCCACCCCTCTAATATGTTTCACACAGATGGGCTTAGTCCAAGAGATGGGAATGGGCTACAGGAGAGTGTTTATATACATCCATTCATTAGCAATCCTCCTTGAAGAAACATACAAATAGACAACATTTCAATGAACAAAAGCCAATGTTGCCATTGTATATACACTGATCAGACATAACATTATGACCATCCACCATAACCTGTCAAGGCATGGACTCCCCATGCCCTCTGAAGGTATGCTGTGTTATCTGTCACCAAGCCGTCAGTAACAGATTCTATAAGTCCTTTAAGTTGTGAGGTGGGGCCTCCATGGATCAGACTTATTTTTCCAGCACATCCCACAGATGCTCGATTAGAATTAGAGCTGCATAATTTGGAGGCCAAGTCGACACCTCAAACTCAACTCAAACTTGATGTGTTCTTCAAACCATTCTTGGATTCATCAAACCGGGACACCTTCTTCTACTGCTAAGCGGTCCAGTTCTAATGCTCACGTGCCATGCCGGGTCAGCATGGCCACCCTGACTGGTTTGCGAATACACAGCACTATACTATACTGCACTAACAGACTGCAATGTTCTGACACCTTTCTATCAGAACCTGAATTAACTTTCTCAGCAATCTGAGCTACAGTAGCTCTTCTTTTGGATCAGACTACATGGGCCAAACTTCAATCCCAATGTTCACCAATTAGCCTTGGCAACCCATGACCTTAACATAAACAATTTAACAGCATTGTTCTTATATTAAAAAAAAACACAACTCCTATCCCCGTGCTTAAAAGTTTTTTAAAGTGAAATAATTGTAGTCCATAAATAGATAAAGTGCAGTCCAATAACAAAAGTGCAACCGTGGAAACGACTTTTGGTTGGCAGGGGTTGTGCCCTCTTTTGTATCCCCACTCACCGACTGGTGTGGACTTTTATTGCCAAGAGTTTAATACTGCTTGGATAAAGAAATTTTCTAAATGTGGATTCTCATTACTTCCATTTCTCCAGTACTCCACCGAATTCCCAGGTGTTGGTATGTAAAGGATCATAAAGTATACACAGCGTAATTCCATATTATTTAACTAAATAATTAAAATCAAATTCCACTCACAAAGTAAAGTAATAGTAAAAAGAAAAAGAGAGGAAGGCGCCTCTAAGTGCAGTATTGACAATTTATTTAGTAAACAATGGAAAATTTGCACTTACAAGATAAACGATTAAAGACTCTTTGTGTGGTAATTAGATCCAGGTGGGATCTTCTTCAGAAGAAGGAGCTTATTGAGCATGCTCGGAAATGCATTACCGCCCCCTTCACCTGCTACATCTGACTCTGCTCTCCAAGCTTCATTTTGATGCACAGGCACATCCTGGACTCTACTTCCTGATCCTATAGACATAGTTTGCTGCTGGACGGCTGGATGTCCCACCTGGATCTAATTACCACACGATGAGTCTTTTTAGCCATTTATCTTGTAAGTGCAAATTTTCCATTGTTTACTAAATAAATTGTCAATACTGCACTTAAGAGGCGCCTTCCTCTCTTTTTCTTGTTACTGCATTAGAGCCTTGCTTCCATTCTAAGAAGAGCTGCCTCCGTGTTACTGCTCCCATACATCCCTGATATCCATCTGGCACCTTTATCCTACAGCTACAGAGGTTGGGCTCCAACAAGCGCGCCCTATATAATATACATTTTAAAGTAATAGTAAAGCCTGTATACTAAACCGGGAACACCACAGCAGAGTACGCTCCACTGGCCGGACGTGACGTCACCGGAAGTCCCCCACTAACGCCTTTCGCCCCTGCCAGAATGCGTCTTCAGAAGCTTTTATTTTGGTTAACCCATGACCTTGTCGCCAGTTTTCCTTCCTTGGACCACTTGGTTGGTCCTGACCACTGCAGGAATATCCCACAAGAGCTGCAGTTTTTTCATATCCTTGACCCTGTTGTCCAGCCATTACAATATGGCCGTTCGAAACCTTACACCTTCCCATTTTTTCTGCTATAAACACGTCATCAACTTCAGGGACATGTTCTGTTGCTGCCTAACCTATCCCACCCACTTTCAGATATCATTGTAATGAGATTATCACTGTTATTCACCTTACCTGTCAGTGTTCATAATGTTATGGCTGATCAGTATATATCTATAGGGAAGTAACACTTTATTTCTTAGTCCTTTGTCACATGATTAAAATGATCCCACAATTTTAAGATACAAATTACAGACCCACAGTTTAACAATTTAAAATAATTGCACAGGAGTCAAAACTTCCTGCTGAATATGAAAAAGGTCTACATATGGATCTGTAAAGCATGAGTGACAAAAAGAAGCAAAAATGCACATTGATCTGGTGAGCTGATAACTTCCTGTAAATTGTACCCTTGCTGCAATCTTATCAGTTACATTGTTCCCAGATCTCTCTGTTGTATACAAAACAATGTCCCTATGTAATGGAGAAGAGAAGGGTATGTGTTCTGTAGTCCTAATCTAGGGTGATACCACTGCTGCTCCATATAAACAGTATGGTGTGTGGGCGCAGTCACCCTAGGACAAGAAGTGTGTTACGAGCAGGATAACCAGGTGAATATAATGGGGGAAAAAAGCCTAAAAAATAAAACAAATGCAGCCACCACGTGAAACAACTGTTAAGTTGCAATGAATGACATTTTTATGTTTTTGAAATAGATACGCTTTTCCTTAAAACCATTTTAATTTAGTGATACAATTTCAAGTGGTTGTAAAGGCTCACGGTTTGTTACCTTTGTGCATTCTATGCATGAAGGTAAAAACCTTCTGTGTGCAGTTCCCCCCTCATTGCTGTGGTTCAGCAATGTTCTTGGGAACCTCGGCTTTCCAGGGACTCTCCCTTCTCATTGTCTGTGACAGCAGCAAGAGCCATTACTCCCATTGCTGTCGATCACAGCCAGTGAGCCAATGAGAAAAGAGAGGGTGCAGGGCCGAGCCACGGCTCTGTGTGTGAATGGACATGCAGAGCAGCAACTCGGGAGCGAGCCTGCTTGAGTGCCCCCATAGCAAGCAGCTTGCTCTGTGGGCACTCGGCAGGAGGGAAGGGCCAGGAGTGTCAACTGGGGACCTGAGAAGCGGAGGATATGGGCTGCTCTGTTCAAAACCACTGCACACAGCAGGTAAGTATGACATGTTTGTAATTTTTGTATTTAAAAAAAAAAATGCCTTTAATATCACTTTCAGTTCATGATTGTTCATTTGGGGCTTTGCATATTATTGTTTTTGCTGCTTATTGTTATTATTGTTCTCTATAATATGAAATTATGTGAATAAATACCCATCCCCACACTTCTAGTTGGTATCACCTGTGTTACATAAAAAAATTCAAGATTGAGTAAGCAACAAGCAGCTTTTAGAAACTAATATTCATTTTAGGACATACAGGAGTCAGCTTAAGTAACATTTTATGACTACCAACAACAACTGTCAATATATGTATTTTTCAAAGCACCAACACACATAAAATAGTCCTCACCTGAACTGGCTGAAATTGTTAATTTGAAAATTGATCATAAATCTATGGGCTCTGCCCAAAACACATAGTGTATGTGTTACTGATCTCATGAGAACTATCATTCAGTAAGGATGGATTTTCCCCTACTAATCACTGGATGTGTTTGAACCAGGGGCGGACTGACAACTCATGGGGCCCCCGGGCAATAGGAAATCATGGGGCCCCTGTGTCCTAACCAACACTCAAACCACACCCAAAAAAGCCTGTGAAAGGTATCAAGGGCATCTCATGGGGCCCCCTACTGACCCCGGGCCCTCGGGCAGTGCCTGAGTATTTGAATGGTCAGTCCACCCCTGGTTTGAACAGCACATAAATACTGTATGTACGCTCAAGCAATATGATCTTAGTGTTCTAATGTGTGTGGGTATTCATTTATGTGCAGAGTTGTCCATCTAACCTAATCCAAACACCTGGCCCTCTCAGTAATAACTTTGGCTATCAATGGTTCTCTCTAGGTATCACTAGTTCAGACATTAGGCATGTGTCAACCCAAAGAATTGGAAGCTTCCATACAAGGGCCACATATGTATACTCATGTAGTCTTCCTACATCTGCATGAACCCCACTAAGCATGCACTATGAGGCCCTGTCTCACAACAATGGCGGCAAAATCGCATCGTGTTTGAGGTTCCATTAAGAAAAAATGGCACCACAATCATGTCACACGTTTTGCTATGATTCTGGAATCACGGGCAGAGTTGTGTGATTCTGCCCGCGATGCTGATATGCTCAAGCGTGAACGGGGCCTAAATATGTATATCAGGCAGACTTGAATCTGACACTGCTCTATATGTTGCCCGATAAGCAGGACATGTATACAGACCTTAGATACCAATGATTCTTTTATCCTTTTTCTGTTATGTAAATTTCCAACTTACTTGTCATGGCTCAGTTCCTTCTGTTAACAAATCCTGTTTTGGGACCTTCGTTCTAGATAACTGTAGCGTGTCTGGCTTTTCTGAACCACATTGTCCATCATTCCTCCATCTTTTTGTTCCACGGCTAACATCACGGTTAGAAAGGTGACGGGAGATTTTACGTGCCAGACGAGCAAGTGTCCCATCTTTGATCATGTAGTCTTGCTGTAGTTCCTCCATTGATATTTCAATATTACCTGTGTACCAGAAGATCCAGCCTATTAAACTCAAAAAAACAATGATTGCTCCTGTGTAAATCAACAAATCACCGAAATCTTGGCCATTCAGCTGTAGCTCTGCAAAGATCCCAACAAGCAGAGAGGCCAACCCAATCAAGTCCATTAAAATAGCAAAAAGGAGCGCAAGCCGACATCGGTCTAAAGCATTTGCAGCCATCAGTGCTGTCACAGAATACTCAAACTAGGTGCTGCATTAGGTAGGTGTGTTAATGCAAGACAAGGCTAATGGATTGAGAAAAGGAAGTAGGAACTGGTTGGACTGGTTTAGAAAAGCAGGGGAGGAGGTGAAAAGGATCAGTTTTCATTCTGTCTTTGTTTAACCTTTTCCTAGCATAATGGACACACCTATGTTAATCCTGTTTGGGCTCCTATCTACCAAAGACAGCACAGCTGTACATGTGTACTGCAAACAAATGTGTAATGGTGCAATAATATCAAAGCCCCCAGGACACATGCCCCAGTTTTTGTTACTGATTGATCTTGTTGGTTTTGCAGTTGTTGCTGTTATGATACAACATATCTCAGTCTTTAGTAAACTTTGGTTCTGAGATTTATTGTATTTTGTAATTCCATTCTCACACAACACACACGCTGTTAGGTTGATCATGAAATGAGAAACTGACGTATGTCATGTTATAATTTTTATTGAATTACAGTTATGATCTATGATTAGAATTTGACAACGGATGTGACAACCGTAACTACTCCAAAGAGATTTTCTTTAATACCAGTGTTTCCCGAAGGTAAACTTGTTCAATATTTGGTGCAATTAGGAAAACAAAATATAAGGTGTAAAGGATTCATTGAATCTGCAGGTAGTTTTAGGCGTCCCTTTAAGTGTCTTAAGCAACCCAGAGATGAGTCTTTTTTTTTTTTTTTTCGTTCAGCCAACGGTTTGAACAAAACAAAGACTCAATATCACCATCCACACTTATGATGTGGATGACGGAATCCTTAGGTATTGCATTCTGACAACACGGAGACTTCCCCATCGTCAGAATACACTGATCAGCACTGCGGGCTATAGCCTGCAGCACTGATCAAGCGGGGAAAATCCTACAGGCTGGATGTACAGAAGTTGGCTGATAGATTGACTTCTGTACAACCAGCCTGCCCTACATGAACCAAACTTCAGCTGGTTCCTGCTGAACCAGCCAAATTTCGATTTATGTATGGCTGGCCTTACTTCTCTGGACTGGAACTAGAGCCAGCAAAGGTCAGAGCAGTTAAGCAGCCCATAGATGTTTCATTTTTTATATTTAACCAGTGGGTTGAACAAAGAAAACTGACCCAATTCCCCCATCCACACATTTGATGTGGATGGTGGAATCACTTCCGCTGAGCTATTTTGTTCTGACAGCAGGGATCAGAATACACTGATCAGTGTTGCCGGCTATTGACAAAATAAAAGTGCAGCACTACAAACAATATCTTTATAACAATTATGTGAAATAACTCATGAGAAAAGATAATTGTCCAATGTAATAATATCAGATGTGGTAAGCCGTTCAATTATGAAAAAACTTCCAAAAACGTTGGTGTAATCCAATCCAATATCGAGGGATAGATAGATTGCCCACTTACCAGAAGCGCAATCTCAATGCGCATGTACAGGTCACATGTAGCTGAGGTCTCATGCAGGCGCTGCTTGGTGGTACCCGGGTGGTCCCTCAATGATAAGTAGATATTGGTCTGGTCGGATCACACTGCTCCTTAGATCCACGCAGAAGCCTAAAAAAGCTGGGGCTGAGGTATGAGGACTCAGTGCCAGATATAAGAAGTAAAGGTACTCATAGTGTAGTATTTTAAATAAAAAATTATTAAATCCAATGTGAAAAAATCAAATAAGGATTACAAAGCACATGCCTGCAGCCTGTAGCCAGTAAAAGAGGCTGTACAAAACATCTAAAACACTGGCCAGTGAAAATCAAGGGTTGGCCGCAGAACCTCCTGATCCGGCGGCGTGACGTCAAGGCGTGCGAAGGCTCCTCCTAGACGCGTTTCGTGTCAATACACGTCAATACACGTCTACAGTAGGGGTGATGCCACTGTAGTGTTGCCGGCTATAGTCAGTGGTGATGATCGAATCGCATTTATCTGGCAGGCTGGTTGTACAAAAGTCAGTGGAAAGACTTTGGTACAACCACTGTCCCCACACATGGATCGAAATTAGGCAGCTCCCTGCTAAACCGGACACATTTTGATGTTTGTATGGCTGTCTTAAAAGTTCAGTTAGAAGTGAAGCAGAAAAGGAGACAGAGGGAACAAGAACCAGCCTCACTTACCATGAAATACAGGGACTGCAAAGGGTCTTACAGGACCCTTGCAATGCCCTTGTCCCTGACCTAATACAGTTACCAGTGGTAAAGTATTAGTATTGGTAAACTGCATCAAAATCTATGATAAGGCTGTTTAGAGTATAGATATCAGGCATTAGGCTCAATTCATAAACTTCAATTAATCAAACATTGGGCTGAAAATGTATATTATTATAGAGGGTTGACATAGCTTCTACTGTTTGTGCAGCACTTTACAAAAGAAAAGCAGAGAGTACAGTTACAATACAATTCAAGAAAAGAGAGTAAGGAAGACCTGGCTCATAAGAGCTAACGTTCATTGCTTGAAAAAGGGGAATTTATCCTAGTATGATAACTTTGTGTCTTAAAGTAAAAGGAAAGGCAATACAACCACCCAGTAATGCCTCCCCACTGTTCCTATCTTTCCTGCATACCATTTATAAGGAATCTCTTTGCAAAAAAAGTATTTTCGTTGAGATTTAGGGGTTTATTTACTACAGATGGAGAATAAAAAATCAGACTCACTTCTGCATAGAAACCAATCAGCTTTCAGGTTTTATTGATAAAGCTTAATTGAACAACATGAATTTAGAAGCTGATTGGCTACCATGCACAGCTGCAGCAGATTCTGAGTGCTCCAGTTTTAGTAAGTCTACCCCTTATTGTCAACTGTAGGAAGCAAAAAAGAGAATTGGGGAGGCAAAATTTAAAATCTGATCGATTGTATTGCTTTTCCTTCTACTTTATGCTATTGTGTTTTTCTAAATATATATATAAAATTTGATATACTGTATATTAATGTAGAATTGTGTCTAGATATGCTGCAGGTAATTTTAGTCCCCATCTAGTAGTTGTTATTTGTATGAGCTGAAAGCAATGTTCACAGCTAGGCAATAAGATAACTTCAAGGACCTAATACTAAAATAGAAATAATAATTTGAACTCATGAAGACAGTATTTCAGTGTATGCAACCAATTAATTAGTATATGGCAAAACATGCATAGCAAAAAAAGTCATACATGAATACATCACAAGCACTTCTGTACAGACTTGTAGGGAAAGAGAAATGTGTTTAGTTCTTGACTTGTTTCTGTACTGGGTTAGATGGTTGGCATACCCCATTCCTACTTGTTTTAATAAAATGCATTTTAAGACAGCACTCCTTCATTTTTACACTTGTGGCAGGTGAGTGTTTTCTAAGACCATTTTCAGCTCAGCTTGTGTCTTCCCCAAAAGGAGAATGAAACTAGGTTAGATGGTTGGCATACCTCATTGCTACTTGTTTTAATATAGTGCATTTTAAACACACCATCCCCAGTGTACCCATATAGCCCTGTTCATTCAATGAAGCTCCAGTTTTTTTTAGCAAGCAGTAAGGAGATCACAGAAAAAATAGGTAAGTTACAGTACCCATGTCTTTTACTGTAATCCAAGATATGGAATTTACAGCTACATCAAAATTCCTAATATCTTAATCGTACAGTACAGGACACAGGAATTGATTCTTAGACCATGGGACATTCCCAAGCAATAATTTGAAGTCTGGGTAACAAACAGGCCCATAAGTAAAACCAAGAAGGGTCAGTGGATCTAAAAGACAGTTGACAACAGAAGCACCTTATATTTGAAGCCCAGGTCAGTAAAGGCTCAAACAGCCACCTGTCAAGAAGCTTTTCGAAAACATGCAAAGGGAAATAGGAGGAGGCCCTGCATCATCTTTGGGAGAAAGGTGTTTGGTAGAGAAGGAGGAACTCATTCCCTGAGGGCCAAAGTCCTAATGAAAAAAAGGCAAAAATAACCAAGTAAGATGTGACAGGAAGCCATAGAAGACAGCACTGACCCCGCCCATAGCGAAAATTGTAAATTGTTTGACATGCCATCAAGGCGGAACATGGGGAGAAATATTAGGAGAGTTTGTCCTACTAACTAAGCGATGTTAGTGCAGCAATCTTCCCCACTGAGCTATTGTGTTCTGACAGGGGGACTGCCCCCTGCCAGAACAAACTGATAAGCACTCACAGCCATTGGCTGCCAGCGCTGATCAGATGCTGGTTTTCCAGCATGCCCATTTGACAGAAGCCGGACGTTAGACAGGCTGCTGTACAAACTGGCTGAATGTTGGCTGGATTCTGTTGAACCCGTCAGTGTGCACCAGCCTTCAAAATGATCTTCCCACACAAGGTGAGAAGAAGTCCATTGAAGCATAAAGGGCTGGCTTCCAGGATACTTTGTCCCTATGTAGCGTAAGAAAGAGCAGGGGTTCCTAAGAAGAAAAGCCAAGAAGGGTGAGCCAAGGCAGAAGTAAGTCCGCCAGGGGCAATGGAGAGAAGAAGGCTCCATTCCTACAGAGTACCTTTAAAAGGAGTAACCCCCTTGAACACAAGAGGGGGCTCTATGTGGGCAAGATCACTCGATGTAAATCACAGAGGGACAAAGAATGTTGCAGTGGGTCACAAAGGAGAGCAACTTCTAGCAAGAGAGAGTGCACATGAAGAGTAAGAGCCAAGGCATTAGGAAGAGGATATATAAACCCAAATCAAGACCTGCGGGGTAGCAAGGAAAGAAGCTGCAGGATGAGGAACTGGAACAAGTTCTCAGATGGGGTTCCCTATCATTGCACCAGGTGAGAACTGCATCACATAAGAGATTGCAGAGTATGGGGAAGTGATCTGCTTGCCCCCAGGAAAGAGAGGCATCCAACTGAGAGGTTGGAATGTGCATAACTGGTGAATATCAATATATTAGAGATGTTGGGAGATATCTAGGCAAGAGTCTGTAGAGCAGTAATATAACTGAAAAAAGTTTGGTTAGAGACAAAGGCCAGTGAAAGGGTATTTCCTTGCTACTAAATATTCCACGGTCAACTGTTAGTGGTATTATAACAAAGTGGAAGCAACTGGGAACAACAGCAACTCAGCCAAAAAATAGCAGGCCACATAAAATGACAGAGCGGGGTCAGGGCACGTTAAAGCACATAGTGTGCAGTAGTCAATAGCTAAAGACCTCCAAACTTCATGTGGCCTTTAGATTAGCACAACAACAGTGCATAGAGCTTCATGGAATGGGTTTCAATGGCCGAGCAGCTGCATCCAAGCCGTACATCACCAAGTGCAATGCAAAGCATTGGATGCAGTGGTGTAAAGCATGCCGCCACTGGACTCTACAGCAGTGGAGACGTGTAATCTGGAGTGAAGAATCATGCTTCTCTGTCTGGAAATCTGATGGACATGTCTGGGTTTGGTGGTTGCCAGGAGACTGGTACTTGCCTGACTGCATTGTGTCAAATGAAAAGTTTGGTGGAGGGGGGATTATGGTGTGGGGTTGTTTTTCAGGGGTTGGGCTTGGCCACCTAGTTCCAGTGAAGGAAACTCTTATGGCGTCAAGCGTATCAAGACATTTTGGACAATTTCATGCTCCAAACTTTGTGGGAACAGTTTGGGAATGGCCCCTTCCTGTTCCAACATGACTGCGCACCAGTGCACAAAGCAAGGTCCATAAAGACATGGATAAGCAGGTTTGGGGTAGAGGAACTTGACTGGCCTGCATAGAGTCCTGACCTCAACCCGATAGAACACCTTTGGAATGAATTATGCGGAGACTGCGAGCCAGGCCTTCTTGTCCGACATCATTGCCTGACCTCACAAATGCGCTTCTGGAAGAATGATCAACATTCCCATGGACACACTCCTAAACCTTGTGGACAGCTTTCCCAGAAGAGTTGAAGCTGTTATAGCTGCAAAGGGTAGGCCAACTCAATACTGAACTCTACGGACTAAGACTGTCCAAAATGTCTTAGTATGCATTCCATATATCTGGTCTCCCACAGTGCACAGAGCAAGGAAATGAAATGGTCTTCACAATGAGCCCCATGGGCCATTCAATTCTTCCATTCATTCTTCATTGAGCAGAACAAGGTCTCCAACTTGGAAGTAAGGGATCAGACTGCCATTTTCTGCATCCTTGCAGAAGAGCACTATACTCCATCTTCCAACAATTGCAGAAGTAGTTGGCAAGGTGTTGTACTCGCATCCATTGATCATGGTATAGATTCCCTGCTTTAAGGTCTCCAGGTGAAACAGGAACAGGCCCAAGCCTCTGGATAAGAAGAGTAGCTGGAGTAAGGATGGTTGGGGACTCTGGAACTGTAGACACCGGAACATGATGCCATTGTTCAGGCCTCGAGGTTTTTCTTATTCTTTCTATATGGTTGCTGACATAGACATAGAAGCTTTTTGTCTGATTGTATATGTAGCCCAAAACAACTTTGTTGTCTGTGTAGAATTTTATATAATCTATCTGATTGTCTAGCTCACGCAGTATAATATCTGCAATTTCTATGGCTGGCACAGTTTCACTAAGTTCAAGCCTGAGAATTGTGTTCAGGCTTAGGTGCTAACTTAGCTTTGCCAAACAGAAACCCTAAATGGGTTTGATTGAGAGAGTCTCTTACATTGAGGTAGGCAATGGCTGTAATGCAAGACAAGCTAAGTGATCCTTGTAAAAAACAAATCAATATATAATCAAATTGACGTTTCAGTTCATAGTAAAAAGTCCTGTTGCTATAAAACACCTTCCATGGCTGTAATGGCTTCAGTGGATGCATCTGAGAAAATGTGAATCTCTTTTCTCTGACTTGAAGCAAGGGAAGCTGAAGTGTAGCAGTGTGGTATGTTAATTCCATCTAAGTCATAGAGATTGTTTTCAGGACTCCCACTTCTAATGTCTGTCTGTTGGTAGTGGAGCATCCCAATCTTTACTATTTTCTGATAGCTGTCTTAAAAAGGATTTACCTTGTATGATGATGGAAGCCACAAATCCCTGTGGATAGTATAGACCAGTGATGGCGAACCTTTTTCAGCCCGAGTGCCCAAACTGCAACACAAAACCAACTTTTTTATTTCAAAGTGCCAACACTGGAATTAATCACTTGCCTACCGGGCACTTCTACCCCCTTCCTGCCCAGGACAATTTTCAGCTTTCAGTGCTGTTGCACTTAACAAAGACAATTGTGCGGTCATGCAACACTGTAACCATATGCAATTTTTATAATTTTTTCACACAAATAGAGCTTTTTTTGGTGGTATTTAATCACCACTGGGTGTTTTTATTTTTTGCACTATAAATGAAAAAAGAGCAAAAAAAAATTAAAAACATAAAAGGTTTCCTTTGCTTCTATTCTAAAATTTTGCAAACAGGTAATATTTCTTCTTTGATGTGCGTTGGTGAGGCTGCACTGATAGGCAGCACTGATGGGCATTGATGAGGCGGCACAGATAGGTAGCACTGATGGGGCGGCACTGGTGAGCATTGATGAGGAGGCTCTGATGATGCACTGATATGCAGGAAATAATGGGCACTGATAAGCGGCACTGACAGCACCAACTGGAGGCACTGACAGACGGCACTGACCGGCGGCACTGCTGGGCATCATTGATGGGTGGCACTGATGGGCAGCACTAATGAGGTGTCACAGATAGGTGGCACTGATAGGCGACACTGATAATGGGTACTGATAGACAGCACTGAAAGGTGGCACTGACTGACATCACTGCTGGGCACTGACTGGCACAACCGCTGGGCACTGACTGGTGGCACTGACTGGCAGCACTGCTGGGCTGCACTGATGGGCACTGGTGGGTGGCACAGGTGGGCGGCACTGGTGGGTGCATTGCTGGGCACAGGTGGGTGCACTGTTGGGCACAGGTGGGTGCATTGCTGGGCACAGGTGGGCGCACTGCTGGGCACACGTGGGTGCATTGCTGGGCACAGGTGGGCGCACTGCTGGGCATAGGTGGGCGCATTGCTGGGCACAGGTGGGCGCACTGCTGGGCACACGTGGGTGCATTGCTGGGCACAGGTGGGCGCACTGCTGGGCATAGGTGGGTGCATTGCTGGGCACAGGTGGGCGCATTGCTGGGCACAAGTGGGCGGAACTTGTGTGTGGCACAGGTGGGCACCGATCATCAGGGCACTGATGATCAGTGACCCTGATGATCGGTGCCGATCCCTGTTCTGACAACTGCCGGTTTTCGGCAGTACTTTCCTCACGATCTGACAGCGTGAGGAAAGTGCAGCCGAGAACCGGCATTTGCATTTCCCGGTGATCAGCGTGTCATTGGACACGGCTGATCACGTGGTAAAAGGCCGCTGTGATTGGCCTTTTACCATGCCACGTGATCAGCTGTGTCCGCAGGACACAGCGATCACGGAGATCGCCCGGTGCGCGCCCCCGGAGGTGCGCAGGAGAGCGCGTTCTCTTCCTCTCTTCCTCCTGGCGTGCCCACTGAGATGGCTCTGCGTGCCAGCTCTGGCACGCGTGCCATAGGTTCGCCATCACTGGTATAGACTGTTCACCACTGACAGAGCACCATGTTTGGTAAATGGCTCATCTGCAGAGCTGACTTGAAAGCCAAAGGTGTCTTTTAATAGGTTCCACCGTAAGCCCAGATTTCTCTGAACAGGAGGCATGTCCATTCCCAGATTTAAATCTTTAAATCCTGTGGCATGATCACCAAGCTGAAAGGCTTTAATCACAGCAGCACTGTTTAAGGCAATCTTATGGAGTCTAAGGGTTGCCTCAGAAAGCATACCTTGAGTCCTTTGGTTTTTTTATCTGTGGGTAAATATTTGAGTCTGTCGTCCATGTAGAAGTCTCTCTCAACAAATTGTTGAGCATCTGCACTATGCTACTTTTTGCCATAAAGAGCAGTCCTTCGTAAGCCGTATGTTGCAGCAGCAGGCGAGGGACTGTTTCCAAAGATATGTACTTTCAATCACTTTATTGTTTATGTTTTTGTCACAGTGCCACAGAAACCTTAGGGAGTTTCTATGGTCTTCTCTTTACTATAAAGCAATGGGATATTTGTTCAGTGTCAGCAGTTATGGCTACTGGTTCTCTTCTGAACCTCATATGTACTCCTGCAAGGTTGTTGGATAAGTTAGGACCAGTGAAAAGAACATCATTTAGGGATATGCCTTGATGCTTGACACTGGAGTCAAGTACTAACCTAATTTTTTTAGTTTATGTGGATGATACACTCCTAAGATACTGGCACTCATCATGTTCTAGAAGAGGTGAAGCTGATTCAGCGTGATCATTGTCAAAGATCCTTTTCATAAAGGCAATGAAATGGTCCTTCATTGTGTTTTCTTTAGAGTTCACTGAAGTGAGTTGAATCTGGATAAAGCTTGTTCACGATTGTTTGGAAGTCTGACTCTTGTTGTACGAAGTGATACTGGTGCAACCCAGCTGTTAGATTTATCTTTGAAGAATCCATTGTCTATTATTGTGATGAACTCTCTATCTTCAACTGACAAGGCAATTCTGTTGTCATCATGTGAAGTACGAAACACTGTGCTACCTAAGTTCTCATCACAGGGAATGGGAGTAACATCAGATACCTGGATAATGTCAAAAGGCTTCTCCTTTGCTTCATAATGATGAGGGCATTATCTGAAGTGAAATGCACACCCATTTCTTAACGTGTAAGTTTTTAAGGAGTTGATCTCAGATGGAATGCGCATTCTATTCAAGCATACATTGTCCACTATTACCCAGCCTTGATCAAGTCTTTGTACATATGGGGCGTCGTCAGGTCCATTGCCCTGCTGGTGTACTTTATGTACTCTGAGAATGTCTCTTTCCAGCAAGACTAGGATTTCAGCATCCATGTCCATTGGAGGAAACTCAGTAACCACGTGCCTTAAGTAGGGATGGTGATATGCAGCTTCTGGAGTAGGAATTTCTTCCCTGTTGTCTGGTATTTGGTCACACTCAACTCATTTTGGCAAGGGTATGCCCTTCTTTACCTTTTCCTTGATATGGGAGACCATGAACCTATCTGCTCTTCTGCTGGAGGTTTCTACACGACCAGAACAGGTGTTGAGAGCATATGGTGTTGTGTGTCCCTTTATGCCAAAGATTTCAAAGAATTTAGGTTTATCATCTTATCATCTATTATGGCATACATCCTGGTAGCTTTCTCTAGTTGATTCTTCAGATATATTTTGATCAGACATACATTGGCACAGCATTTGTGACTTAATCCTTCTCTACAGACTTCAGTACATGAAGAAGAAACAAAGCATGGCTTTGTTGCTCCCCCACCATGATTTGAAGCAGGGCTCAATGTGGATGGCTGCTGTGGATTGTCTGGAAGTGTAGCAGGATACATAGCTGTAACGTAATTGTCACTACTGCATTCTATGCACTTGATAACAACTTTACAATTTTTAGCAAACATATCATAGGAAGCACAGCACCTATAGTATATTCCATGTTTCTGGAGAATCTCTCTGCTTTTTTATACAGTCTTTGCCCTAAGTCCACAATTCTTAAGAAGGTGAGGTTTTTGTGTGAATAGGGCACTGACGATAAGGGTTTTTATCTCTATAACCCAAATCACACTGAGCAGCAGGAGTGGTGAGATGTCTGTCTTTTTAGCAGATACTGCTTTATTTAAGTCTCTGTGTAAGTCTCTGTGTATCATACCTTGATGTTGGTGAAGCAGGCAAGCTAGATTCGCTGAAATTGAAACTGGGATCATTTCTCGTCCAGGCTTGTTCACTGATGAACTTGCAAAAAATATTTGAATGGCGGAAACGATACATTATAGTCTTTTTTTATATTTTGAGCCTCTGGACAGTTGTCAAACCTTGAGAGGCTAATGTTAACTCCTTCGCACCAACGGTATGCAAATAGACCACATACAGTATTTGCGTACCCAATGTAAACAAACATGTGCCAAAAGCGTGCGCCCTGCCTGCTCCCTGCATGGAAAGCTCCTGATCGCTACTTGCGATGAGGAGCTTTCCAATTACAATGACAGCTATGACATCCAATGACGACAGTCAAATAACCCTAAACCCCACCTCCTGGCATCAGAAACCCCTTAAAGGACCGAGAGGCGCTGGCGTCAAGGGGTTAATGAGCTTGCGGCAAATCATATTTCTAGCTAAGTCAGACAGGTATGATCTCTCACTCTTTGGTGACAAAGTAACTTTTGGGACCCCTTGGGCGTGAAAGTTCTCTGGTGAACAAGAGTGGGGTCTACCAGGATAAAATGATGTTGCAAGAGCATTTAGCTGTGATTTAGGTTCTCAGGCTTCTGCTGGCTGTTGCTTGAACTGTGGCTTGTTGCTGGGAGTCACCTTGTCATTGGCAGGAGGTTATGTGGTTTGCTGTGTAGATTCACTTGCGTTGTGAATTTTAAGAGGCTCAGGCTTTGCAGGTTGGAGGTCTCAGTGTTGAGAGTCCAAACAGTAGAACTGTAAGAGGTACAGGATGATCCTGTATCATTGCAAACATTATGACTTAGCACATATTCACTGATGCGATCAACTGGATCTTCCAGTTCTGCTGGAATAGAACAGTCGGAATTAGTACTTTCTCCTATTGCTTGTTCAGATCTAGAAGAACATCCTGTGAGCTTAGTAAATGTGGATTTATGAGATTTGGTCTCCTGAAGTTGCGCAATGGCGAGTTCTGCCTTTTCTTTAGCATCTTTCACTAAGAGATTTCTTTGTTGATTTAGTGCACCTGTCTTAGTTCTGCTAAAAAGCCCTCTATATTAGAGTCCTTTAAGAAAGCGGTGTATTTTGCAGGCAGCCGCTGGTAGATAGGCGATCTATAGAGTCTCTTAATTCAGTTGGCTGATCATTAAAGCATGGAAAAACTGACATGCAGTATTCAGTTCTGTCCTATAGATCTGACAGGTTGCTAGAGAACTCATCTCTAGTTGTTTCATAGTTTTCTCTTAAGTTTCTGTGTTGGTTTTATTGTGCGTTTGGGTCTTACACTTTGCTCTGTGATATCTGCAGAATCTGTTCCCTGCACATCTGTGTGGTCAGAGGCATGATGTATCTGCATCAATTCAGCGATAAAAGAGTGCTCAGAGCCTTGTCTAGACATTTTTTAAAGTTTTACAAAAAATGGTTACTGTCTCTTTAAGAAGACAAACAGCAGCTTAGATAGGTGGGATAACACAGTCCAATGCAGTGGAACAGTTTTCAGTATTCACAGGTGAAGTGCAGTAAGCTTGTGCGACCATGTGCTTTTACAAGATGGCGGACGGCACTGAGATTGATTACAGATTGGACACACACACATACATAACAGGCTGTAGGAATTCTACCATGTTTTGATTATTCTGACTCCAACTGATGTATTAGTGACTTATCCCTTGCTGAGACCAATATGCCGGGCAGCCTGTATAAGCAGATACAATCACTGCAGACAGTCTTTATCAGACAGCTGAACTCACCAAATGCCCTTTTCTCATCCATGAAGGTCTTTATTGAATGTAACAGGTTACAGCAGACAACAAGATGTGGCAGATGAAAAGACAGCATCTGCAGGTCAATTGTATTGAGTTCCCCCATGACAGCAGATTAACATATGGCTGAAAGACTAGCAGCCATCTTTATCCCCTAATGCACTGCAAGGAGAAAAAGAAAGTATATCACAGATGGGAGGGAACACAGAAAAAGATGTCAGTGGATTTAAAATATGTGGAAGTAATAAACCGTCCTTCCTTCACTGATATTCTCAAAACTAAAAAATTAATTTCTTTTAAACTAGTCTCATAATTTAACTCAATGCCCCTCTCATTGTTATTCACTGATTCCATAAACATTTGTAAGGATTCAAGGCTACCATTTCATAGGAGGAGGATGTCATCAATGTATCTGGCTCACTCAGGCCTAATGTGGGCATAGATGACATCCTCCTCCCATTTAGTCATAAAAAGGTTAGCTAAACTAGGGTCATATTTCACCCCCATAGTTTCCCCCTTATTTTGGAGGAAAAACTTATTATCAAACCAGAAATAGTTATGTGTGGCCGCAAATCTTTCATAATAAACTCCTTTTATTGTATAGGTAAATCTGGAGTTTGGTCAGTATAATATGACAGAGATTAAAAACCCAACTCATGTGGAATATACGTATATATTGATTTCACATCTGCAGTGACTAACAAACACCCTTTTTTATATTTCTGATTTTCCAAAAAATTGAATATCTGTTGAAACTATCCTCTTTTCCTTCACAGGGTTAGACATAATATATCTTTTGACATTTAACTTACGGACATAT